GTGTGTGTGGGTGGGTTTGGGTGGGTGTGAGCGTGTGTGGGTGGGTGTGCGCCTGTGTGTGTGGGTGGGTGTGGGTGAATGTGCACGTGTGTGTGTGTGTGTGTGAGCAGAAGGATCACAAGAGATCAATTGTGAATCTGTGGATTTATTTGATGAGTGACTGCCTAATTATGCAGGCCTTAGTTGCTTTAAATAAGTAAATAAATATAAATGAAATTAAAATGATGCATGAAATCGATTTTTTTAATTCTTTTGTGCATAGGGAAGATACTGAAACGAGTCCTGACTACGGGAATGAAGAGTGAACAGGAGAATGAAGGAACGGGGGAAAAAAAAGGCCACCGAGGAGAGAGGAGATTGAGTGACGTTTTTCGTTTGACAGAAGGTGGACATGCCAATTCTTAACAGGAATAGGAAGTCCCCGTCCCTGGATAATTACTAAGTACCCTTCTCTGTCTGTTGATAAGTGAGTCATTCTCTGCGACAATCTGAATGGTAGTCGATGGGGCATTTAACAGGTGCGCTCTTTTGGGCTTCGCCTAACTCTTTGGCTGCTTCTGCTACGTTGTCGGAATCGCTAACTCCATTTTGCACTAGTATCGAGCAGGGGAATGAACCTAGACTGTTTGCCAGCTCTTATGCCTGACCGGTTACTCTCCGGATTCTCATTTCTTTCGCACTCTAGTGTCCCGTGTGACCCACCACAACAGCACCCAATCCTTGCTCTCCCTTTCCTTCATTTTCCCTCTGTTCCAGACCAGCTTGGTTTGCAGAATGCCCTTTGGTTACCTCGCTACTAGGCATTGGAATGCCGAGTGGAGCAAGGAGGGGAAAGGGGGGAGAACTATCAAGACATCCTGCGCCGTTGCTGTCAGATTCTTAGAAGGCGTCTTCTGGAGCCGACGTTTGCCCCAAAAAAAACATACTTTGATATCAATCTTTATCTGCTGAAAAAAAAAGACATCCTTCAGCTTGAGGCTTCATTGGCCTGCAACTGGATCAAGTACAAGGGTCTTACAACCATACTTGCAAGCAGACGGACCGGACAAGCGTCCGGTCCGGTCCGCTTTGCCCCGTGCAGCMCCCCCCCCCCCGGACCAGACGGACCCGGACCGGACTGGACCGGACAGGGCCATTTTTTTTTATTTTTTTTTTGGGGGTGGGGCGTAACTGGCTGTCGGGCGCACAGTCGTGCGCCGCGCGGGTCCGGTCCGGCGGTCTGCCGCACGTGCGGAACCGCCCGGACGGCGTCCGCTTGCAAGTATGCTTACAACCGAATGTAGCTGGGGAAGTTTTTTATTGCAACTGCGCTTAGACGTGTAAAGTGACATGTGTTCTATGAACTTCTATCCGAGGAACGGCAAGAACTGTTCGTGACGTGACTCGTGAGTTATTTTAGAATCCCTTTTTCTGCTTGCTTATGGCATTAGCACTTCAATTTTTTTTGTAGTGTTTTTTTTTTTTTTTCTGCCTAACCCGTTTTTTTTTTTGTTTTTTTTTTGTACGAGTGTTGGGTTTTGAGTCGCTAGTGTTCTCAATTTTTGAACGGGTGTTACTTCTGTGTTTTGTGCCTTGCGTCTTGTGCCTTTCCACCTTGTAGCCTTAGGTGACTACTGTCTTCACCCGAGTAGAACGTGCGGTCATTGTCACCGTACATAGGCTGAAAGTTGTGCCAAATGCATCTATAAGGACTCGGTGTTCTGTTCGGGTGAATATGGTAGTTGCTATATTCTCAGAAGAGTTATGGAGGGAAGAGTGCCGACAAGATCACTTTCACAAAGTTTCATTTTTCATGTCATTGCACTGCATGTCGCTAACCGGAAGCTGTTGTGCTTGTGATGTGCATGTGGTTTGCCGGCGGTGTTTTCTTTTTGTTCCTCCGTCAAGCAGGACGCCTCTGCATTTGGATCCGGTATTCTCCTCTGCAGACGTTGTGCAAAAGATTTACGCCATTCGCGAGAAGGTACTCGTCTATTCCTCTCTTTAATTTTGACAGCTTTGGACTACGATGACATGAAACTTGATGAAAGCCATGGAATCCAGTAGCGAAAATGAATGTAGACTCTTGTAGAGCCATATATCCCATGAGAAATGGTAAAAGGAGCTTCTACATATTCCATTCCTTGAAATGCAGTAAATAGTAAAAATTAAAATGTAAAAAAAAAAAAAAAAAAAAAAGGAAAAAGAAAAACTAAATAGTAAAAACTAAAGCTAGAAGAATAGTGGCTAATATTGGACATTCGTTAAGAGGCCAGAACCACTGAGCTATCGGGCCTCGTTGCACGACTCAGCAAATGCAGAAAATACAAAAAATATGGTGGTGCATCTTCCCATGCTGTAGCGGAAGATTCATTGTCGTTTTTCATATTTGGTGAGTGGCGCGTCGAGGCCCATTATGTAGTTGTCATGGTTTTAGTGTCCAAAATAAGTTATCTGAACTTCCAAAGTTTATTCTTACCTTCTGATTCTAACCACCAGATTTCTAAGCTACCAGAGTGGCCCGGGGTCACTTGCCCCGCCGGGCCAACAAAAAATATATGGCCCGCTCTGCTCTGCTGGCGAGCCGCGCTCGCAAGAGCGTTTTCTTTTCTTTTATTTGATTTTCTTTCCTTCGGCCTCTCATCTCACGGCGAGCGCACCACAAAGTGGATTGATGGCGGAAATAGCTTAATGGTAGAGTATAGCCGTGAGATGAGAGGCCGAAGGAAAGAAAATCAAATAAAAGAAAAGAAAACGCTCTTGCGAGCGCGGCTCGCCAGCAGAGCAGAGTGGGCCTAAGTAGATTTGAACTACTGACTTTACACTTATCAGGCGTATACTCTAACCAACTGAGTTATAGGCCCATGCTTGGAAAGACTTGAACTCTCAACCCCCAAATCCGTAGTTTGGTGCTCTATAGCGATCGATATCCCCTCACTTCTCCTTTTCCGGCATGCTCTTGTCCTGTCGAATTCGCAGTAAGCCGAATGTCCAGAGTGCAGAATTGATTGCACAGGCTCTTTCTTCTTGTTACTTTACGAAACCTAATAAGTCAATAATATGATAACACATATCAACATTTATCTTGAATTACTACGACCTTCTTATTTTATGTTATACTCAAGAAGATGTACATCATTTATAATTTCCATTTGCTTATTCTTGACAGTAATGGCTATTTACTTAGCAACTTGGGTAGTACCATCTGATTTTCAACAAGGTGAAAATTATCGGGTCTGTGTTTCATAGCTTTTTATGAGGTTGCACTGGGAGCCAGTGCTTGTTATATCAAATTCGCACCATGGATTTTGTCAGAAATGTTTGATGCTTCTTGGGGTTTTCTGTTTGATACTCTGACTCGTGGCAACATTAGCAGCCATTGGAATGATTTTAGGAGCAGCTTATTCCATTTGGCTCTATAATCGTGTTGTGTTTGGAAATTTCAAGCCGTATTTCATTCATAAGTTCTCCGATTTAAACAGAAGAGAATTTTTCATGTTTTTACCTTTTGTAATTGGAGTTGTTTGGATGGGTGTTTATCCTGAGGTATTCCTAGAGTGTATGCATACCTCTGTAAGTAATTTAGTACAACATGGGAAATTTGGGCCCTCATTTGGTGATCACGGGGGGCACGCAACCCGTGCCGCTGGCCCGGCGGAAACATCCAGGAGGCACGCAGTGTTGGCCCGTCTGGGAGTGTTATGCGTTTGAGACGGAACGCTGATGGAGAGCTGTATGACGGGAAACTGTCACGTACGGTTCGGAGGGCAGAGACTCACCTCTGACCCCTACCCGTTTTAGGTTTTGCTTTAACTGAAGCTATTGCTTTATTCGTCTTAATGATGGCTAGCTTTAGATACAGCACAACATATTCGCAAGGTGCCGCGTTATAAAAAAATGAAAAAATGCTTTGAAGGAATTGTTACAAACGATATTCCAGACTGCTTGGTGATAATGAATGCAAATCAGAATTCCATGGCCATAATTTCGATGTGAACCTGAGACAAAAGTTGTTCCGTTTATTTTTCTGCATAACATAGGGCTTTTTCGGATTTTTTGGAGGTTTTTTTTTTCTTTTTTCTTTTTTGCTGGGACCTCTGGTCTGGTAGCCTAGCCAGATTCCCTTTTTTTTTCTTTTTTTTTTTTTTCTGTTTTTTCTTTTTTTTTCTTTTTTTCTTTTTAAAAGCAGCGTCCTTGCTAGGAGAGGTAATAAGAGCACCCCTGCCTAGCGAGAGACGTGGCTGCTCCAATCTATTGGTGAGGAGCAGCACCTGCTGGAAACCGGGTCCAGCGTCCCACTGCTGGTTCGTACTTCACAAAGATCAGCAAAGGGGAAACCACGGAAAGTGTTTGGTGTTTCTTGTTTCTGACTTGGCCGTGCAAGAGGAACCGGGCTGAAGCCCCTCAAAATGTAATGCAGCCATAAGTGCAGAAGGTGAATGCTTCGTAATGGTCTGGAGAGCAGCTTTTCGAAAATTTTAAGTATACGAGGTGGCGTAGGTTAACCCATGCTGTATTGTAGATATGCTGGATTGTATCATCTGCATTAAAGCACCCGAACGCAAGCAAGGTGCATGGGTCTGCCTGGACCTGGTTAAAAAAATCCATTCATGAGGAAACATGTTCAGAGGCTTGCAGAGGACTTCGGAAGGGTCTCATGCACTACTGGTCTAATTGCCATGTGCGGAGCTTTGAGTAAGGTAACGGGAACTGACCCACTTAGAGGGGCAGCGTCCTCTATCCTCTCGTATTCCTGCAGACACGGAAAATGAAGGGGCCCTATGGTCCTAAGGGCAGCATCATCCATCCATCCTCTTGTGTGTGTGCAGATACGAAAGATGAAGGGGGGCGCTACGGTCCTAGTTGCCTGAAGATATGGAACGTGGATGTTGATTGCAGTCCTGACTTTATGTTTCTGCCTGTGCTCTGTTCATACAGGTAAACAGAGTGGGGAGGACTCCCAAGCCAAGGCCGAAGCCAGCACCAAAAGTCGAGAGCAAGACTGTCGAGAGCGAAGGAAGTAGTGAGGGCGGGGCGTCTGAGGACTCCGGTGAAGCATCAGAAGGTGGACAACCTGAACCAGCAGGGGAAGATATCCCAAGAACATCAGCCAACGAGTCACAAGAGAATGCCCAAAGGACTGGGTCTCATGACGAGCTGTAGCGTGCCTGTAGGTTTATTTGACTGAGAAACGAATGGTACCTTCTCTCACGAGGAATGTGAGTCTTGCTGTGCCTGATTCTGGCATCGCACAGCTCTTCAGTTTTGTCATGTCCTCCACCGGCCTGTCAATATCTTCGCTCTTCCGTGTGTATGCCTATGTCCTTACCTGAGAGAGAGAGTGTGTGAGAGAGAGAGAGAGAGAGAGAGAGAGAGAGAGAGAGAGAGAGAGAGGGAGGGAGGGAGGGAGGGAGGGAGGGAGGGAAGGAGAGAGAGGGAGGCTTGTCTGGGGTTTTGGTAGACAATTCTTAGTTGATATGTGCCATGGTAGAAGACCTAAACCTTTTGTTTGATTAGTTTTTAGCATATGAGTTGCGCCTTGTTCGAGTTGAATCACTTCGTGGTGTGTGAACATTTCCACGTGTTAGAGCGATTTTGAATGCAATTGCCGCATTTATTACACTGATGTGACCCAACTATTCTCCATGGTGTTGTTGTACCTGTTTTTCCGATAACCACTTCTGATGCTGTGCCAAAGCTGAATGTTCTTGCTTCCAGTGCATTTGCGCTCCCACGGTAAGTTATTTATTCTGTTTTGACTTGCAGTTCGTTTGTCACATGTTCATTTGAAATCTGGGTCCCTGATGTGACATCTTCCCACTGTAATCTCAAAGACGAATGAGCGAGTCCTTCGGGACATCTTTCAAAAAAAAATTAAAAAAAATAGCACAGAACATCTGAACGATACAAAGTAGTCCCTTCACAAGGATGGGATGCAGAAATCAAGAAGTGGTCTAAATTAGGAATTGAAAAAAATAAGAGAAGATCAGCCTGTCTGACAGTTAATCCTCCGTCAGCGCTTCTTTGGCCTATTGCTTGGCCTATTCTTTGGCCTATTCCTTGGCCTATTCCTTGGCCTATTCCTTGGCCTATTCTTTGGCCTATTCCTTGTCCTAGATGGAAGGAAGCATAGACTGGGTCATAACTATGAATGAGAGAGATCATTGGTAATGATCTTGGATTTTACAGCGGAGGAGTTCGACCTCTCGTCGGAAAAAAGCTGAGATGAAGGTTCGTAGAAGCCAGGTGAAGGTTCGTAGAAGCGAGGTTTACATCACCGATGTTCATTTCAGAAGAGCTGTAATCGTTGACAAGGAACGCGGAAGAAGAGCGCTTTCTCCATTTTCTGTGCTTATTAAGGGAAAAAAAAAAAAAAAACGCATGGCTCCTTTGCAAGAATGACTGAAAAAGGCGAAGAACACAAAGCATAGATGTGTGCTGGCTCAAAGCAAGCAATTTTACAGGTTACTAGATGACCTGTGGGAGTGCAAAAAAAAAAGGAAAAAAAAAAGGAGAAGATGACCTGTTGTGTCTTCGTCCCAAAAATCAGCAAGAAATTATCAAGAGGGAACGCGGGAACCTTTTTGTTGTTTTCTAACTTTTCTTCGTTTTTCTGCGCTAGTTGATGATATACTTGATATCCAAGGCAAGAGGATTGATCTCATCCCTTATAGAGGTGGGATACTAGACAGATGACAATCACCCACACCGTATTCGTCCACTCGGTTGAATGTCCGCTAGATCTCGAAGCCGCATTACAGCAGGCAGCCACTTTTTACTTTCAGCCTATTCCCAGGCCTGGATGCAACACAGACAGAGAATCCAAGGGCTACCATAGGATTGACCTCATCCTAATGTCGCTAGATCTGGATGCCCAGAAGGGGGGGGGGGGGGGGGGGGGGGGGGGGGGGGGGGGGGCGCTGGGAAGGAAAGCAATTAAAAACTTCTAGAAGCTGCACCCATTTTTCCAGGGTCTGGATCACACAATATTCTCACTCTGCAGCAGTTCTGACTTTTAGAACGAAACCCGAACAGGGGCCATTCCCGGGCCGGGCCGGGCCGGGCTGGGCCCAGGTTCTACAAACTGAATACATGGCGAAATCAGTTCATTCAACGACGGACTTTTTTTTTTTTATGGCCTGTAAATGTACTCTCTCAAAACCATTGGCTTCTAAACTACATGCCCAAGAAATGGACCTCCAGTATGAAATTCAGAATTTGTCAATTTGAAGAGCAAGAGGACCGAACCTCAAGCACCACTAACACAGTGTAATACAAAGTTGGACAAGTACTCACAACAACGTTGGCGAGGTCTAGAGAATAGGAGTGAGCTCAATAGGCAAAGAACAGAAGGTGCAATGGCTCGGGCCTGCACAAGGAGGGGGGGGGCATTGAAGCACATTGAGTGATCCCGAGCAAGCACGGAACCCCCCTCCCCCTGTCCTTCCCCAACCGCAACACTGCGGCGCGCGCGGGTGGCCAAAGACTTTTTCAAAGACTTGTTTCACAGCTCCTCGTTTGTTGTTCTCTTCTCTCTCTCTACCTACGGTTTACCGGACAGTTCTGTTTGTGACTGCCTACGGTTTACCGGGCAGTTCTATTTGACGATATATACTACGACTTCGCTAGCTTCCTGCTACGGTTTTCTTCGGTCAGGTCGAGCGGCAGTGGTCGGGGCCGTCACTATGCGGCCATGCTGTGCCTCTAGTGCCAGCGGCGTGTCTGGAGTGTATTTTCTGGCTGTGACAGACCT